TGGGTTTTGGGAGCCCCCCCCCCGGCCTGGGGATTTCTGGGCAGCAGCGCATCCTGCCTGGTGAGCAGCCCAGGGCACTGCTGCACATGCCCAGCATTGGGCAGAAAGACCCTGGATCCCCCCAGTCCGCCCCCCCCGCCGTGCTTGCTGGAACCCTGGTGTGCATGCATAGGATGAGGGGGCGGGGTTGCATGCACATCGGTGTGAGCATGCTCACATGCATGCAATGGCGGTGGGGCCGTGGGCTGACCTTGGAAGGGGCAGGGACCTCTCATCTCCCTCCCCACTCCCAGGATGCTGGGCTGGGGGTGGGAAGCTGACTTCCAACTTGCGCCTTGAAGCCTGGGCAGCCTATCAAACAGAGGAAGCGACCATCGACTGGCAAAAGGTTGGCTCACCCGTCACCCGGGGGGGAGGGTTGGACTGTACCAACCCTTGAGCTACGACTTCCTGGACTCCCGTTCCCTGGCCACACCGGCTGGGGCTTCCTGCGAGGCAGAGCCCCAGATCCGGGAACCCGGCACCGAAGAAGCCCATGCCCGCTGGGGGAAGCTCTCCTGCAGGGATCTCAGAAGGAAAGGGACCTGATCCCAACACTTGATCCCTGCTGTGGTTTGGAGGTGCCAGGGATGAAGCCATCGTTGTCTGCGCGAGGCCTGCCCGCAGGGAAACCATTCCACCTCCTCCTCTCAAAGGGTCTCCTTTCCAAGAGGTGGCCTTTTACAGTCTCATCACACCGGAGGGTGGAAACGAACCATACTGGAAATCTGAAGCGCATTCTAATGAGGCCTGGCAGGAGACCCCTCGCGCACACGCAGACCCTTCGAAAGCCACCTCCTGCTAACAGTTCCCCTCATTTGTGCCTCCTGAACTAGCTAGCCGGCCTTTCCAAAAGGCTGACCCAACCGGGGGGGGAGGGGGGGCTTTTGGCCTCTGCCATATTTGCAGGGAGGCAGCCGGGCAAAGAAGCTGGAACGCTCAGGAGCCAAAGGACCTTCGGAGGGAAGCCACCGCATGCAAGAGCCACGAGCCACGTGGAAAAAGCAAGGCTCCTGCCCAGCAGATCTTGGCCTCTGGTTCAGAGCCTGCGTAGGAGCTCTGAGGCGATGGAGCCAGTTGGCTTCCATGAGGGAAAGGAGGAGAGGCGGGCCCCTTCTTCCCACCGTTAAGAGGCTGACCAGGCTGGCAGGTGAACTTTGCTTCAAGCCAGAAGCAGCAGCCTAGTTTAAGGGGCTTCAATATGGGCTGCCCTCCAAAGGAGGACAAAGTGGGTTTTCTGTCTGTTTCAATCCCACTGAAGGTCCCTTCAGGCGCTCCAAGTGAGAGAGGTGGGATTCTCTTCCTCCCTCCCTCCCTCCTTCCTTCTCCCTGGTCGGCCAGGCTGAGAGACGGTGGCCCAGTGGGGATTCGAACCCAGGCCTCCCCAGTCTTCCTCCTGACTCTCCTCAGCCACCCCACAGTCTGGGGCTGCTGCCTCCTGGATCTGTCCCCCCCCCCCTTTGAGGCGACGGCCTCCCTCTACCCAAGGGGAGGGCCGGCCCTCAAACTCAGGGGGCAGCAAGCAGGCCCAGGGGCAAAAACGGGCTACCGTGGCACCGGGGGGGGGAGCCTTGCTGCCACTTCTCCGCCCCCCCGCCCCGCTGACCGGCTGGAAGGGTCTCTCCTTCCCCACCTCTCCCGAACCGGGGTGATCTGCAGCCCTCCCGGCCCTGCCGGGGACCCAGGGCTCAGGGCAGCTGGAGGTGGGGGGCGCGGGGGGGCTCCCCGAAACCGGAGGGCCGGAGCCGGGGCGAAACAAAGGCTCGCCTGCCTGGACCGAACAAAGCTCTCCTCTATGGAGCCGAGGCAGCCCGCACTGTCGCCATGGAAACCGAGGCAGAAAGAGGCTGGTTCCCCATCCAGGAGCAGCGCCCGCGTCCCTCTGCCTTCCGCTCATTCGCTGGGCACACGGCTGCGGTCCCCCCCCCCCCCCCCACCCCGCCC